CTGTGTGCATTGAATTTATTTAATACACGAGTTTCACAATTTGAGTTGAATTACTGAAATAAATTAACTTTTCCACGGCATTCTAATTTATTGAGATGCACCTGTACAATTGCCATCGAACCTTCCTTCTCAGCGCACTGTTAAGGATATATGCTTGTGTTATAGATATTGACAAGGTATTTGGACATTTTAAAGCTTCTTTAAAATTGTTTCATAGTAAATGTGATTCATGCAATGCAATGGAAGAACCATTTTTGGTTCCTCAAAGAACCTTTTGGTGAACATTCTTAAAAAGAGCCATTTTTTTCTTGTGTGAAGAACATCTGACAAACCTTTTTCTACTATAAAGAGCCTTCTGTCCATGAATAACCTTTAACATCCATGGAATCTTTCCATTTTACAAAAGGTTAGTCATAGTGGAAAAACATTCTTCAGATTATTCAAATGTCTTCAACATTATAAAAATGGTTCTTTTAAGAACTGATCACTTCAAGGTTCTTTGGGGAACTTAAAATGGTTCTTGCATCACTGTGAAAACCCCCTTTTGGAACCTTTATTTTTATGTATAAACATAAACAGAGTATAAACATTTTCAATGGATGATCTTCAAGGAACCATAGATAGCAATAAAAAAAAATATGATGCTAGAATGCAGCAACTCATGAAAATGCACTTGAAATCATGTTTGTTCACATACTTTCATGTTCCGGTCATAACTGACCACATGCATACACTAAAAATCACTGACACACCAACTAACTCATTTGCAAAGTAGACGCAAAAAGTTAATTCTGAGTAAAGAGTCGACTGCAGCATTTGTTTGAATGCTTGATATTTCGGATCTAATTATAGACTTTCAAGTATTTTTGAGTGTGACTTTGTTTAAAAAATATTAAAAATAATATTTAAAAAATAAGGTGAATAGAATGCAGCAACTCATGAAAACAAACTTGTTTCAGCCATAACTTGCTTCATGCATCTTAAAAGAATCACTACTTCACCAGTTAACTGAATTGAAAAGTCAATGGAAAAACAATGGAGATCCTGCAGCATTTTGTTTGAATGCATGATAATTTGTATCTAATTAGACATTTTTGAGTGACTTGAGTGACTTTAAGAGTGTAAAAACCATTTTGGGCTCCACAACGAACCTTGCAGTGATCAGTTCTTAGAAGAACCATTGTTTTCTTGAGTGAAAAACTATTTGAAGAAACTTTTTCCATTATAAAGAACCTTTTGTGCAATGGAAAGCTCCTATGGACGTTAAAGTTTCTCCATAGAACCATCAATGTTAATAAAGAACCTGCTTTAAAGATTGTAGCTTGCCTCAGAATTAAAAAAAGAAGGTGGATAGAACACATGAAAACAAACTTACATTCATGCACTTGCGTGTTTCGAGCATAACTTGCTTCATCTAAAAATCACTGCCGCTCCAATTAATGAATCTGAAAAGTCAATGCGAAAAGTTAGTTCTAAGAAAAGATCCTGCAGCATTTGGTTGCACATTTGATATTTTGCATCTAATTATAGCCTTGACATTCAAGCATTTTTGAGTGTGACTTGCAGTTTTAAGAGTGCATGAGTGTCACAAAGAAGCTTTAATTAAACAGTTCTTAGAAGAACCATTACTTCCTTGGTGAAGAACATTTTTCCACTATAAAGAGCCTTTTCATGCAATGGAAAGCTTCCATGGATGTTAAAGGCTCTTCATGGAACCATCAATGCCTATAAAGAGCATGTTTAGCTTGCTTCACGTTAAAAAATAAGGTGGATGAACAACACAGCAACTCTTGAAAACAAACTTGTGTTCATGCACTTGCATGTTTTGGGCATAACTTGCTTCATACATTCGCAAAAAATCAATGCCACAGCAATTACTTGATTTGAAAAGTCAATGCAAAAAGTTGAGAGAAAATCCTGCAGCATTTGGTTGCACAATATTTAGCATGCATGATGAATAAATATTTTTAAAAGTGCAACAACCATTTCAAAGAACAGTTCTTAGAAGAACCTTTTTCCACTATAAAGAGCCTTTTGTGCAATGCAAACTTCCAAAGGTTCCTCACAGAACCACAGTCGCCAATAAAAAACCTTTTTTTAGAGTCTATATGGGTTTTGGGGCCGCTGTATTTACCGCACATACGAACAGCTACATGTATCAGATTCAGACTGACCCAAATCCATTTAATAGTGCTGGACACTGGGCCATAAAACACAGCAACACTCTCAGGTGCAGTAACTAGACTGAGGGTTATGCCATGCCATAGAGCACATCTGAAATATTCCTACACACTCCATATATTTCCTCTGAACGTTCAGGTGCAGTAAAGTGAAAGCGCGACCTGTCCTGAATGTTGATGACTGCATGGAAGAACATCATCACATGCCATCTGTACTTCTGCTGAAATCAATAAACTGATGTTCACAGACGAAAACAATCACAGCTACACCCAAAACACTCACGAAAACATTTTGTATGATGCAGACAGGTGTCTCAACATGTGAAGGAACTCCATGTATCGACAGCTCGCTGCCACACACACACACACACACACACACACTCATACGCTCATGTATATACACACACACACACTCTTACACTCATGTATATACACACACACACACTCTTACACTCATGTATATACACACACACACACTCTTACACTCATGTATATACACACACACACACTCTTACACTCATGTATATACACACACACACACTCTTACACTCATGTATATACACACACACACACACACACACACACACTCTTACACTCATGTACACACGCGCACACAGAGCCCTGTCGGTGAAATGACGTCAGTCGCTCACCGGCGCTCTTGTCTTTGCTCTCCATCTCCCGTCGCGCTGCTGTCGGTCACGGATGATGAAGATGCCGATGAAGAAGACACGTTGTTCGCTGCTTCCGTCCGCTTCGCGTCGGTTCCTGGCTCGCGCTGGGCGCGACTGTCACGTGAGAGCAGCTGTCGATCACTTCACGCGCCGTCCGGTGCTGAGGCGACGGCGGAATCACGGGCGTGGTGGTGTGTGCTGTAGATGCTGCAGCGCGCGAGTGTGTGTCTGACCGGGGCTCGTTCCGCGCGCCGTTACCGGGAGCTACCGCAGCTCCGCCGCTATCAGACACGTCGCGTGACGTCGGCGCAGGTGTCATGTGATCCTCTGATCAACCTCACCAAATGATCCAAACGATATCAGATTGCTTTTATGTTAAAAATCTTTGTGTCAACAAATCCTCTCTCTCACACACACACACACACACACACAAGGGTGGGTAAGTCGCAGGTGGACAGACAGGTGCTGAGGCGGCAAGAAACAAAAAAAAACTGGCATGGCCCACGCAAAACTCACATTCATATATAAAACTGCACTGGATTATTTTGATATTCACCTGCTTAAGCAAAACTGAATAAGCAGGTGTGTCACATCTAAATGTGCGCAAAAGACTTTGAAACTCCACCTTCCTCAGGTCAGCAAGATATAACAGCAGCTCTCAGCATTCACACACACACAGCTTACCATCATCCTGAGCCGTACACAGAGGTATTCAATTGTACTGATAAACTTCTCAGCATTTACCTTTCTAACACACATCTGTAATTCTCTGTCGCAGCACTTTAGCTGAGCTGAGCTCCTGGAGGAAAAACTCCATCCAAATGTTTCTTCTACAGCGTCAGTGCTTTTAATACAGTAGTATAAGAGCATTTAGCTGACAGTGTGTGGGTTATGATCCCTGACGACGCTCTCTAACTACACGAGTTGCTGGAGAAGCAATATAGCTCTATATTTTGATTCAGTAGGAATCAAACACTGCGATTGCTCATATATAGCCAACTGTTCAAATAACAGGAGGTTAAATGCTTCAAATGGTTGCATGCAACACTGATGTCATTCTTGCAATCCAATTTTGTGTATAAATATAGCAGCTTCTGGCAGACTGATTACATAATGAGTCAAAGAAAGGGACAACATCAGTTGATATTGCCGTCTATTAATCTCACAAACGTTTTTTGTGAGAAATTAATACTTTTATTCAGCAAGGATGCATTAAAGAAATGAAAAGTGGCAGTAAAGACATTTGTAATGCCACAAAATATTTCTATTTCAAATAAATGCTGTTCTTTTGAACTTTCTATTCATCAAAGAATCCTGAAAAATAAAATGCATCAGTTTCCACAAAAATAAACTGCAATATTATTTGATGTATGATCTTTAATTTAGGCTTATTAAATTCACTGTATTACAGTAATGAGAACGCAATGATAATTTTTTTTTTTAACTCAAAAGCAATTTAGGGTTAAAATGTGTTTAAATATCAAAATATTGGGCAGCACAACTGTTTTCAACATTGATAATAATCAGAAATGTTTCTCGAGCAGCAAATCAGCATATTAAAATGATTTCTGAAGATCATGTGACACTGAAGACTGGAGTAATGATGCTGAAAATTCAGCTGCGCATCACAGAAATAAATGACACTTTAACAGATATTCACATAGAAATTAGCTATTTTGAATTGTAATAATATTTCACAATATTGCTGTATTTACAGTTTTTGATCAAATAAATGCAGCCTTGGTGAACAGAAAAGACTTCTTCCAAAAACTCTTTGTTGAATCTCAATAGGATCTGCATTTTTATACTGAAAAATAAATAAACATATTTTAGGTCATTTTGGAGTTGGGAAACAGAATAATCAAAGTCTTACACTTTTGCATTTCTGTACAGCTTTATTTACCAAACACAAGTTTAAAATGCAATGCAACACTGATCCAGAGCAGATGTTATTTTGCTGAGGTGTCCATAAGCCCACTGGCATGTTAGATATTTATCAAGCATAAGAATAACATGTACACACAATTCTCGTGGACATTAGCCTAATGACGACAGTTAAAATAAATCAACACGTTCTGTTTAGTTCTGATATGTCCTGATTCAATATAAAGAGAAACACACGGTGGGGCTGTAAAAGAGTCTTTAGAATCCACTTAATCAGAATAAAAACACCCCATTGGTTGATTTGTGTGATAAGGCATTACAATTGGTCCCTGTAGAGCTTGACGATTCACGTTTGGTCTGTTCTGATCCGTCCCTCCTACCAATCACATGCAAAGATCACATGATTGGCTGAGGCTGATTGGTCTAACTGGGAGTAGTGGGCAGATTAATTACAGCAGAGCACATCACATGATCAAAATATTCAAATTATTACAAAAACTAATTATCCAATGCACCTATCATGTTTAGCAGCATATATATATATATATATATATATATATACACACACATATAATTCACCCCAAGAGACTGTGTGTTAAAAGAAACAAACATCCATCATCACAGGGAGTGTGCTTGTGAGTCTTAATGTGCAGTTTGTGAGAATAAAGTTCTTCTGTAAGTGTGATTGTGAAACGATGGTGTCTAAAATAGTGTGTTTACAATATCATGTTACAGTTACTTACAAGTAAAGCGTATAAACACATTTTGTCTAACTGCACTTCTGAGTGGAGTTATGGGTTTCCTGTTTTCCACAAACCGTCCTCACCCCACATCCTTCCATAAATCTTCCGCTCTCTCTCTATCCTTCCCGTAAAAGCTGGGCGTCCATAATGGGGAGGAACAGATACGTGAACACGACTTCAAACTGGCAGCAGTGAAACAGGATCATGTCCATTTTTAACATCATATTCAGAGCCTGAAGCGTTTAACATCTCCGGCGCTGTGCAAAACACACGGCTTCCTGCTTCTGGGACTCATTAAAAACAGAAAGAAAAAAAAAAACATTAAAAAAAAAAACTGCGTGAATCTCATGAAAGGAATTTAAAAGCCAATAGGATCAAGATTTTTCATGACAAGCACATTTTACCTTGTAATTCTAATTAATGCAATGCAAAAAAAGAGATATTATTTAAACTGCAATATTATTTGATGTATGATCTTTAATGTAGGCTTATTTTATTTTTTAAAAATTTAAAAAAAAAAACTGCGCCCAATCAGATCAGGGGTCGTGGCTTCAGAAGAATGCCATTGATGCGAAGTGAGGTCGCCCGCAGTCAGCGCCCAATCAGATTAGAGGGGCGTGGCTTCAGAAGAATTTATCATTAACGCTATAGTGTGGTCGTCCGCAGTCAGCGCCCAATCAGATCAGAGGGAGTGGCTTGAGAAGAATTTATCAGATGCGAAAGTGAGTTCATGTAACATCATCTGCAGTCAGCGCCCAATCAGATTGTGGGCGTGGCTTCGGAAGAATGTCACCAATGCAAATGTCAGGTCATCTGCAGCCAACACCCAATCAGATCAGAGGGCGTGGCTTCGGAAGAATTTGTCATCAATGCGAAAGTGAGGTCTTCTGCAGTCAGCACCCAAACAGATTAGGAGGCGTGGCATCAGAAGAATTGCTCATTAATGCTATAGTGAGGTCGTCAGCTCCCAATCAGATCAATGGGCGTGGCTTCAGAAGAGTTTATCATCGATGCGAAAGTGAGGACATCATCTGCAGTCAGCGCCCAATCAGATCGAGGGTGTGGTTTCAGAAGAATGTCATCAATGCAAAAGTGAGCTCGTCAGATCAGATCAGAAAAAAATTGATCAATGCAAAAGTAAGGTTGCATGAGGTCGTCTGTAGCCAGTACCCAATCAGATCAGTGGGCGTGGCTTCAGAAAAATTTATCATTAATGCGAAAGTGAGCTCATCCCCAGTCAGCGCCCAATCAGATCAGGAGGCATGACTTCAGAAGAATTTGTCATCAATGCAAATGTAAGGTCATCTGCAACCAGCGCCCAATCAGATCAGAGGGCGTGGCTTCAAAATAATTTGTCATCGATCAAAAATGAGGTTGCATGATGTTGTTTGCAGCCAGCGCCTAATCAGATCAGTGGGTGTGGCTTCAGAAAAATGTATCATTAATGCGAAAGTGAGCTTGTTCCCAGTCAACAGCCAATCTGATCAATGAGCGTGGCTTTAAAAGAATTTGTCATCAATGCGAAAGTGAGGTCGTGTGACATCGTCTGGGTTGATGAAGACTGAGATGGACTTCCCAGGATTCTCTGTGACCAGCTGCTGGAGTTTCTTCGCGAGCCGGTCGTCTGGTTGCTGATCGGCTCCGGTGTCCGACAGAGGGGATGACAGGTTTGAGCTTCCTCCGCGCCACTGGAGCTCAAGCGTGAGCCGCGACGCAGCTTTTGCGTGCTCGATCGCGCTCCGCAAGTGTTCTGCTGGGTCAGAGCGAACTGACGACAACTTGCGAGCATGCAGCATGGCCATGTCGTCACTGAGATGCTCTAGCATGTTGCATTGCGGGATAAAGTAATTCGGGCAGGTCTTATTCACCAAGCAGTGCTGCAAGTCGTCGATCAACCCAAGCAAACAGTGCGCAGCGTAATCTTCCTGTGCCAAGTACGTATGCGGCAGGCGGTCGCAGGCCCAAAGCATGAGCGAGCGCAGGTGATACGGGCTGATGGCTTTGGGTCGAGAGAGAAGCTTAATAATCAGAGCTTTACAAGCCTGATACGCCTGCATGAGACTCGCAGAGATGCACTTCTTCAGCTGCACCTCGCTGCGTGCAAACGACAAGCGCCATTCGTTTTCCTTCTGGCCTGTAGAAGAGCAAGCAGGCAGCAAATAAAACCCACTAATCACTTCCTCCTCCGTGATTTTCCCATCCCAAAAATGGTTCTCCATTAGCCAGCTTTGGGCCACCGCTGGCCAGCCTTTGAATGACACTACTGGAACCACGTCGTACAGCATCCGACTGCCTCCGACGCCCAAAATGATGGAGATGACGGTTGCGTTGCGCTCGACCTTCTCGACCCGTGGGACACCGCGCTGCGGCTTCTTCTGAATCTCCGCAAGGACCATACTAATGGATTCGTAGAACCAGTCGGCCACCAGCGTGGGTGAGAAAAAGTAATTGGTGGCGCCGTTAACATGGTCTACAACAGTGCAACAGTCCTTCCACTTGTTGATGGTTCCCTCGTCAAACAGACGCAGACTGAGCCAGGAGTGGCAGAGCGCCGAGTGACGCATGTCTAGCGTGACCGGCTGGTTTCGGTCGTGGAGTTTGAGCGCGGGAACCAGTAACGTGAAGTCCATGTCGTAATCAGCTCCCCGCGCATATACCGTCAACTCATCCAGATCCATGTCAATCACGCCTTCCCGGACCCCACCGGACAACAGCAGGTACTCGTTGGCAACCGGAAGCTTCTGGTCCAACTTCTGCACCATGCCTGAAAACAGTAAATTACATCATTAGAGAAGGACAAATTTTGTGCACTTCTACAAAGTAGATAAAACAGACTATCCCTGCGTTCCATTCGGAAGGGCTCATCCCAATGCCCTAATCCCTTCAAAGGGTTTACCCTCCGGTGTGAGAGCTTCGAAGGGTTGAAGGGTGTAGGGGACCAAACAACTGTTCATTGAAGTGCCCTTCTGCGTCATCACCATGTTCCCACACGGAGGCGCAGTCATCATGCAAAGAATCTGCGCAAAGGATCATGGGAGCCCGAAGTGTCCATCAGTTGTACCCTTCGAAATCCTTCATTCCGAAGGGCCCTTTGAAGTGGCCAGTTTTGAGCACTTCGGTTTGGAACGACCCTTCAATATGGCGGCCATGATTGTTTTCTCTCCGAAGTGCCCTTTGGAGGGCGATATATCCCGTTTGGAACGCACCGCAAATTTCCTTGTAAAAGGGATTATATTTGACCAAAAAAGCAATAAGATGTTATACAAGTCTTTCATGACAAAAGGAAAGCTATTCCAAGTGGGAAATTTTATTGGAATTCCTACACATTTTGCATTTTAAATAAATAAATTGATTTAAAGATCTTGCATAAAATATATCCAACCAATATTTTAAGTTTATAAAAAAAAACATTCATGTCTTTGTTAAACGTACAAGTTGTATGTACACAGTTACAAAGCACATCACATAAAGATCAAAATACTCAAATTACTACAAAAACAAAAATTCATGTCATGTGTAGCAGCATATCCAACAAAATTTTTTTTTTTTTTTTTTTTTTTTAAGGGTTGGATCTCATGAAAGCCACTTAAAAGCCTATTTTAGTATCATTAATTTTACATCAATTCTCATGAACTTAATGTGAAAAGTATATTGTATAAATTGCTAAGTATTTCTGTATCACTGCATTACTTTTGATTTATAACCTGTAATTAAGTGTAATTTTATTATCATTTTTTTTAAATCACTGTATTACAGTAATGAGAATTTAAAAAATAAAAAAGCAAAACAATTACGATGATATAAATGTGTTTAAATGCCATTAAAATAGCGTCGCAATGAAAAACATCTCACCAGTTGTAAAATAGGCTTTGTTTTCTTTACCCTGGCATGTTTTCATGAGATTCACCCAAAGAGACTGCGCGTCCATCATTGCAGGGTGTGTGTTTGTGTGTATTTTTGAAGTCCTGATGTGCAATTTGTGAGAGCAAAGATCCTTTGTGAAAACAATAGTGTCTGAAATAGTTTCTAAAAGTTTGAAAATGGATGAAAACCCTGACTTCTCCCTTTTGGTCATTGTGATGTCATATGTAAACATGGAAAACAATAGTAGTGGCTCTAGAAATACTGCAGTTTAAAATGCACTTTTATTATAGCTGATCAATGTTTTGCAAGAGAATAGGGAGGAGAATTAAATTTGCAGTGTAATTTTTGCACCTGTAATGTCACAAAATGGCATTGCAAAAATAATTAATTTTCAAATCTATCAAGTCTATTTCAAGTTTAAATTAATGCAAACATCTTTAGTGATATAGTTTTTGGATGCATTTGGCGTCATGAGTGTTGCCACAAAAACTAACAATTTCTATGTTGTAACAAGTTTCGCAATTACGGTATTTCTGACGAGACGTGAACGCAGCATTAGAGGGAATGAAGTGTGTTGCTTCACAGAACAAAATTTCATAATAAAGCAATTGACATAAAGGTTAATCTATAACCACAAGAGCAACAGAGCACATGCAATAGAGTCTACAAAACTATTCCTACACAAACACAAGAACATTTCAGACCAGACAAACAGCCCACAGACTCCTGAAGAAAATAATCCCCAGTCACACCTGAGCTCAAGCTCATGATGAAGTGTACATGTGCCAGCCAGTGACTCCGGGGTATTAAAATCTCCCGTCAGCAGCAGAAGAACCTCCAGAGACGCTCAGAAAAACCAAAACAACTTAGTGATACGTGTGTGTGTGTGTGTGTGTGTGTGTGTGTGCCTTTCACATCTGTCACACTCCTCCAGAGGCCACAGCGAGTTCAACATTCAGAAATACACCTTCAGGCCCACAATTTGAGCATCTATCATAATAAGAGTGCAGTAAACTCAAGCTCAGCATGCTACAGGGTCATTCTGTGTCGACTCAACCAGAGGTCCCCGGCTAAAAATGTTGATTTTGATCTTTTTTCTGGTGAAAGAAATGCATAAATGAAGAAGAAAGCCAAAATATTAAATATCATGGATGTATTTTTACAGAGTAATTCGCTATTTTGTTGAAGTGGATCAAAATGACTATTTGAAAATGTGTATAATTTGACATGATCTCCATATCTATAGGATTGAACCATATAGGGCCTTAAAAATGAGGATAGCAAAAGAAAAATCTGCTAAGAACCAGAATGTGAAATTATATTGAGATCCCTTTAATATTTCTTGAGTTACAGGCATGCAAACTTCGGAAAAAGAATATTTTTGGCACTCGGATAGGTATGTTCCGTGCAATCGTTTTGATAGAGGGAAACAAGATACATTTCTAGCTTCAACATTTTCTGTTCTTCAGACATTCCTTTTTTAAAGAAGCGCACATTTGGTTTTTGACCACTGAAAATGTGCACAATTTAGCAATTCACTCCTGGAGCCACATTGAGATCCCCATATCTCTGGAAGTGAATCATGTATGGCCTTAAAAATTATGATACCAAAAGAAAAGTTTAAGAACTAAAATTTGAAAGGATATTCAGATATCTTTAATAATTCTTGAGCTACATGCATGCAAACTTTGCAGGGGGAAAAATGTTTTTTTGGAAGAAAAGTGCTTTTACCATGTTTTACCATTAGCATATAATGCCACAAAGATTGCTAACGTCAACAGATTTATAGACCTAACAATCTCTGTGTAAAAATAACAATATGATACTGGAATCTTTCTAAAGTCATTTTTACTGTCCTGTTATTTGGCTCTAAATCTCAGATGAAAATCATCATTTTGACCATCCTCTGTCTACAAAATAGTGTATTACGCAGTAATTATTCTTCAATGGCATTTAATTTTTTAGTTTTTATCATATTTCTTTTTTTCTTTCTACAGAAAAAATACTAATAGATTCAGAAATTTTAGCAGGGGACATTTCTGAACTTCGGTTGATTTGACACAGAATGACTCAGCAGCGATCGCAACCCATTTTACTTTCATAATGTGACTTAAAGTCCCCATGAAATCAAAATTAAAGTTTTTTGGGTGTTGACTTGATAATAATAACCAACTCTTTGTTACCTTTGTTACAACATTCAGTGTTATGGAAACGAAATTCACACATTTATAAACTGTAAGAAGTAAACAGCTACAATTTGAGACCAGGAACACATCACGTAACTGTAAGAGTAAATAATAATTATAATAATAATAATGATGATAATAATAATAACTATGCACCCGTTTGTAAGGAAGCTTGTAAATTAACTAATTTCTCTATCCAATGCTGTCACGTCACGTGACAAAAGAACGAACGATTCGAAAGACACGAGAGATGAACTAATCAATTCTCTTTCCGGCTCAGACTGCATTGGTTAAAGCG